GAAAAATATTTACCACCAGCTCCACAGCAACCACGTCAAGTCATCGTAAGACGCGAAATATGTCGACCTGGTGCATATCCTATACAACAACAACAACAACAACGACAACTACAACAACAAATCCCAGGTCGACAGTTAGTTCGAGAAATAATCCGACAAATTCCACAACAAGCATCTGGACCTCAATCAGCTTTACTTTGCATGCCACAACAGCAACAACAACAGCAACAACAAATAACAAATCAACAACAAGCAGTTCAACAATTAGTGCCAGTTTTTGCAGCACGACAAGTGAGTTTCGCGTTTTTATTCATTAAAGAAAAATTGAACACGCTATAATAATTTTCTTCATAATGAAAAATTAAATCGATAGAATCAGATTTTCATTACTATGTAGTTTTGTATAAGAAGATAGAAGAGATTTATGTGATTTTAGATTATTTTCTATAGACTTAATACTTTAATCTTTCTGTTCTACGAATAATATCGAGCAAGAAAATTCATTTATTCTTTTATCGATTAAATAAGAATTTGATTATGTCAAATAAAATGCATATTCGTGATAGATGAAATCATTTTTTGACATTCTATTCTGATCTTAATTTATTTCTATTTATTCACGAGACATACTGATTGATTAAACTGTAAAATAAATATATATATATATATATTTTTATTTAGCATGTCGTTCAACCTAAAGGTGTTCGTGTTATTCGACAAGTAATTGGTCCAGCACAAGTTGGCATGCAACAACAGCAGCAACAACACCAGCAACAGATTTATTCGCCATCTGGTCCAGCTTTTATTCAAACAGTACCGGCAGGATATATTCAGTAGTGTTATACTTTTTAATTCCAGGATTTATCAATATTATAGAAATTAGGCATATTTGTTTTTGTTTCTAAATATATGTTAATAGATACGAATTTTTTTCATGTCACTTTTTTTTTCTACTGTATTGTGTGATTTATTATTATGAATTAAAAACAAGAGGAGAAGAAGAAGAAGAAGAAAAATCCATTCGTTATATATTATTGAAAAGCTTTCCAATATCGTGCGTACATTTTTCGATATACTGTTATCTATATAATACATAAAGAAAACGAAAAGGATAAATATAAACAAAATGAGAAGAAAAAAAAGAAAAAGACGGAAAACAATAAAACAATGCGTTAAGACTCTTATTTTTTTCTCGTCTTTCTCTAGTCATTTCATAACTTAACATGCAATCATATCTCTAGTGGAATCTATTTATTATGAACTGAAAATATTTTAACTTCATGATTCATTAAATTATAAGCTGTAGACAAATCTTGAGATGAAGCTTACCATCTTTTCATACAACTAAACGCTCGAATTTTTCGTTTCTTCGCTTAATCATCTTACAAACGTTTATATCTATTGTTCTAATATATATCATATGCATATACTATTTAAAAAAGTTTCTTTAAATTTTATATTCTAAATCACTTAACTTTTAGTTATGATAATAGAGATTGTACTAAATAAGAAAATCGATATGAACAAAAAGATTCAGATCATATCAATACTAAGAATATGTTTATATATATGGTTTTATTGATGTCAATATATGAATTATTTTAAATATTATATACTGCATATAAATACTAAAGAACATGTTTACCGATAGGAAAGTCATGCGTTTTGAATGCATCGTGGGGTGAAGGTATACTACGTAGGTAAAAAGAAAAGTCAGCATGGGAGTATGTTTATTATGCAGATCATTATAGCTCACTTAATTAAATTTTTTAAATAGAATATAAATAAATGATTGTCATGAACGGCTTCTTAGTTATTTTGCTTTAGAATAATATCCTTAAGCATATATTCTTTATTAACTATTATTATTGTCAACTTTTCTCCAAAGATATTTAACGCAGACTACTTAGCTTAATAAAAAAAAAGGATCAATATTTTTTTATTTTATTTTATTAGTTGTCAACTAGTTTTCTTTTTTACTTCTATATAAAGATATTTCTATTGACTGTTCTCACTCACTTTTTTTCCTGTCTAATAAGATGTTTCTGTAATTATGAAAAAGTACAGAAAAGGTAAGTCGTTTTCTCATATATTAATTATACGAAAAAATAACACCTTCAAACGGAAATAAAAATTGACTGAATAAAAAGTATGTTACGCTTATTAGATATGCATCAGTGAAACAAACTAATAATAAGTTCGTGTAATTTACCGTAAGATTATTAATCATTATTTCTCATTGTTATTTTGTTTTCTATTTTTATTAAGCTATGATCGAAATTTTTTTTTCACTTATCTTCTCAATGAAAAAAATATATCATCTGTTTTTTTTTCTATCTAAGATTTAAGAAAATGAAAATAATCAACAAACAAAAGTAACTTATACAAATCCGATACAGTTTTAGAAGAAAAAAAACTATTCCCACTGTTTTTCAAGGACATGGGAGAGAATAAGTCTTTTAATTACGATAAGGAAATATTTGCCCTTAATTTTTAGTCATCAACCTTTAGTATTTATAATATAAAAAAAACGAGATAATCTTTTATCACGCATTTATATTTCCCTGTGATAAAAGGGAAAGGTATTTCATGGTGAATTTAGCGTAGGACTTTAAGATAAAGCATAAGAGTGGGTTAATTAATTCAGGATTGCTGTGATCTAGTTATTGTACTTCTTTGTTTTTGTATCATGAAGTGAATAATATGATTTCGTTCAAGCTTAGCATGATTAAAATTTGTGTGAAGGAAAATATCAAGAGAATAAAAAATATGAATAAATTATTATTGGAATTAGCATTCTTTTTTTATTGACAGACTGCCATATGCACGATGATGCTATCCTCATGAGTTAATTAATAAGCTCACACAGTTAGTTCCTGATCTTTTTCTTTTTAAAATCTTATTTCTGTTTTGTATTTATGTCATAATAATCGTAGTTCATTCATTTTTCTTTTATATGTGTCGTACTCTTATTCTTGAAGAAAAAAAAGAAGATATTTATTGAATCAATAAATATATGAAACTGAAGTATGTATACACATATAATATTTAGTATCTGGAAAACTAGATACTTTTCTACGCAAAAGTATTGAACAAATAATAAGAACTTTGTGTCATATTATGTACTGAGAGATAAGAGAACCCCTTGCGTGTATCAATTAATAAGTGTCTATTTAAATGTTTAATAATTAATGAAAAAAAAGCATGACAATAGATAGATAAGTACAAGAATGAAGGATGATAGGACAGACTCATGTTACTTTTGCGAAGTTATTTTTCCCAAGTGTGAATCTTGAGAGAGATGAATTGTTCTCTTTCTTTGCTTCTTCTTCTTCTTCTTTTTCCTTTTCTTTTTCTTCTTGTTCTTGTTCTTCTTATAAAGCAGCATTGCATATATAACAGACATAATAAATAGATAAAGTCTAGAGCAACATGATTTAACTACAAACCATCAATACATGTTCATTCTAGCACAAACATAAAAGTATCTACATATATATTTATTTAATTCGTAAATAGTGGAATGAGTTTAACTATTTATATTATATACTGTTTGATTATCTATTTTTAGATACATTTTAAATAGATCTCCTCGCAATCTTTATTACTTTTTTATATTGTTAATTATTATTGTTACACACAGGAGAAACAAAAAACAAACATGTTTGTAGAAAATCCATCACAAATAGACAATATGTCTTCATCTCTACTTTCATCTTATTCATCATTATTACATATGCAGTGTGAAATACTTCTACCATTTTTTTTAAATCAAACCGCTTTTCTAAAAAATCAACAATTAATACCAATATCTATACGTGAATTATTATTAAAAAATAATGTAACATTTGGTTCACCAAAAACTATTGAAGAATGTGTTGTTGAATTAGAACGTTTATCAAACAATTCAAATAATATTAATATATCAAATATAAAACCTTTACAAACTTATGAAATACAAAAACATTCACGATCATTAATTTTATTTGTTTTTCTTATTGCATTTGTTTCATTTATATCAATTATTGGAAATTTATGTTTAGCCAAAGTACTTTATTCAAAACGTTTTCGTTTATCACAAACAGATCGAATTGTTTTATGTCTTGCTATAAGTATAGGAAAATTCTTTTTTTTAAATTCTTTCTTTTCTAATACTTTAAATATTTAGGTGAACTTTGTCTTGTTCTTATTGATTCACCAATAGAAATCTATCGATTTCTTTCATTTTCATTTTCAATAACATGGCTTTGTCGTTTTCATACATTTTTCGAATCATTCTTTTCATCATGTATTATCTTTTATCATCTATTAGGTATGTTAAAAGTTTTGTTATTATAGAAATATATTTTTCCATTCTCTATTAATCAAATTCGAGCATATATTTGAATTTTTTACATTTCTTATTCCTCTGAGACCTTAATATAATGATATGTAAAACTTTCAGACACTTAATTTTATATAAAAGAGATCATGTTTTCGCACTTGTTAGTATTTTTGAGAGTATTGAGTTCAATGTAGAAATTGAATCTTTTGTAATGATTATATTATAAGTATGTGTGATAATATTTCAAAAAATATGGTTTAATCTTCCGGTAAGAATTCTAAGCGTGTCTTTTTCTGTCTGAATTCATCTATTAGAATTTAGTAGTATCAATGCTGTGTTTCCGTTCATATAATTATATTATAAACGGAGTTTTTTTTCAATTGAATAAATCAATCAACGATGGAAAAAATACTATTCTTTGTTCATAAACTGAAGTTCCTAGCTGACATTCTTTTCTTATGTGAGGGTAAAGTATTGCAAATCTGAATAAAATAGTACAATTTTTTCTATAGGAAAGTTTTTTGAGGACTTGTTGAATTTATAATACAAAAGCTTCCATCTATTTAATTAAAATAACACAACAATAAGTTAATTTATTCAGAAAAGGTCGCGACCAAAAGTACATAGTTAGTTACACAAAAGGCGCATCATTCGGAAAATGATTTGCTTACTTAACTTAGTAAGAATTAATTAAATAAGCTGCTAAAAATAGTTAGATCCAAAACAAAAAAATATATAGATGGACTATGTATTTATAGAAGTGAATAATATTCTATTCTATTACATGATCGGTCGACGGACATGAAAAATACATTCATTTATTTGAAATACTTGATAAGATTACAACAGTAGCCAAATTTTTTTATGAACATCACATAGAAAAAATGTAAATTTAATTGGTAAAACGAAGTTATTAATTTCCTTTTTTTTCTCCTTTTACATGGTTGCCTTTGGGTATAGGCAACGAACTTTAAGTGTATATTAAACATTTTTGACTCTTTTCACATATCTATAGAGGTCGGGATCAAAGGATAAAGTCATTAAGTATAAATTTTTTTTCTGACAACCAAAATTAGCAACTCCTACACTGCTTTTCCATGGTTTCTTAACAATGAAAAAATTGTTAAATTAAACTAGCGTAGAACATTTCTAAGTTTTTCTTGACTTATATATATATATATTCTATTTTTTACTTAGATAAATTTTCATATAACAGGTATTAAAAGTGGTAGTTAATGACATGTTCATTTGCCGTAGTCATCATATGATCAGAATATAAACGGAGATAGTTGTCACTTTCGTTTATAATCAACATCGAAATTTTTAATATTTGTTAACATAATAGAAAAGCACATTAAGTTCTACTATAGTTCCAATGGCTATATGCAATAAGTGTACTCGACACTATTATTAATAGTTAAAAGTAAGTGAAGAAAAGGAAATAACAATGAGCTAATAGTAATCAAATCACATAGAAAAAAAACGAAGTGTCATAGTGGAAAAAATTATAAAAGAAAATAATATTCGCTTGAAAAACGATTGTCTTTTGTAAGAAATTATTAATTCCATATATAATCTTATATTATTATGATAAAACAAAATATGACTTTGAATTGTCATGTTTTTATTAGAGAATGGTTGTACACACAGGTATTCTCCGAGCTCATGCGAAATAGATAAATTTTTCTGCATTAAAATAACCGTAAATGATTATGAGGATAGAGTTCAAATAAACAACATTTAAGTCGGTCTGACATACCAATAATTCTACAGTTCGTCTATCTATAGTTTTTCCGTGCCAAAGAACAATCAAAGATTATATGTATTCAGTTTTCATAATAAGCGTGATTGCTTCTGAAACCTTATACTAAGATGCAACTAGAATCCTATACTTATGAAAGAAAACACTGCATCTAAGTGTTCTGAAGACATTTATTTTTGCAAGTTGATACATCCTGACATTATTGAAATATAAGAAACCAAACAACAAATGAAAATCTATTGTATTTATATATGTGTGTATTGACCCCATAATTTATACTCAAAGTTTGTGCAAGTACTAGTAGAATTTTTCTTACTAAATATATCTATTCGCATGATTAATACTCAGAATAAAAAGATATACGTCAACAATAATTTTTTTTCAAGTATTTACGTGCGTCACATAATAAATAATACATAGCATATAATTACTGTAGATATAGAAAATTATTTTAAGGAAATTAAAACCACTTAATCTTTTCTGTTTGTTGAATTTTGTAACTATTTTTATTTATCATAGTATATAATGCCATAAAAATAATTATGAAGACGTCATAGATTGTGATAAAAAAAAGTATACTTTATTTATGTTGTAACAAACAGTTAAATTATAATTATGTTCTTTTGAAGTTGAAAGATTATTATTAGCAGTACTCGCTATTTAGCTGACATACATATATTTTTAATGAGATATTATTAGTAATATTGAAGAAGGAATTTTATACTATATTTCATATTTTAATTTGAAAGAGATCGTGCTTAATAATTTTTAATATTATTTTTTCTTTCAAACACTGTGAAAGACAATTCGAACGTGTGAATGACTTCCATGAATTCGTAATTAATCTTTGTTCTTGATTTTATTGAAGACAAAGTACATGTCACAGAGCCATTACTATATTCATGTGAAATGATAATTTCTTCTAATTGTGTCTTGAAATACGATAGACATTTTACCTAGACGATTACACTAATACTTTGGAGATTATCGTTTCAGCTATAAATAGAAAACTTCTTTATTTTCTTTCTCAGTACTTTCTAATGCTTGTCTTTGTAAGGATCTACTTTTGATAAAGTATCTTTTTGAAATAAAAAGACTTATATCAGATACAAATTTCCTGAATCTATCTATTGAAAGAACTGTCAAAACATTGTCTTTGTTCTATTTTTATCTTTATTTGAGAATGTAATCTATCCAACATATGCATGTTACAAGAGAAATTTAAGACCTAGAAATAGCGTGTCATTTGAAAATTAATATAACAAATTAAAGAGTACATCGTTCTGTATAGACGAGTTTTAATGTGCCTTGACATTTGATGAAACTTGTCATCTTATCAAGTAATAATATAAACAGTTTATCAGAAAAAATATTAATTAATGGATTAAAAATAGAGTCTTTGAAGTATATCAAAATCAAACAAAATTGTTTTGCAGTATCTTAAACTCCGTTAGAATTTATCAGAGATCATTGAGTTTATAATAAATTGAATTAAAAATCTTATTAGATGTGCTCAATTGAACAAGACTTATGATAATTACAATTTTCTAAATCCATGTCAAATCTTTCTTTTCTTACTTAAACCTCCTGAACCTTAATAATTCCTAATGAATCATAAGATTTATTAAAATTTGTTTCTTTATTATATTATCAATTCATGATAGATTATTGAAACAAAAGAGTAAAAATATTTTTAGTGAATCTAATCTTTCATATTATTTGAAGCTTTCTAGTCATAAGATATACGTATAAATAAACAATTGAAGATGTTCCTCAAACAGTGGGCGTATCTTTTGTGTAATAAAATGTGTCTCTCCAAAGTAATAATTTATGTATGAACTTCCGCTTCTTCACTTCTACTATGAAACTCATTCAGATAAGTGACATAGTTCTAAACTATATATACAAATAATGATCTGTCTTGTTCAAGTGCCAAAATTCATTCCTTCGTATGACACCTAATTATTATGTATTTCATAATAAGAAATATATGATCTATAATCATGAAAGCATTATAATATAAATAGTCTTATCTATAAAATAATGTTCTCTTATACAAAAATATTTTTGAAAAAACATACTGAAAAATAGATTATTCAATTTATAATGTTCATTTGTCATGAAAGTTATTTTTATTCTATTATATAAAAGCGTTTTTTTGACTTTGCTATAGAAAAAAGAAGACTTTGAATTATACTTCATTAAATATATACGATAAAATACTTGACTTATAAAATTGTCTGTTGTCAAACATGTCTAGATACATATTTTTAATTTCTTCTTTTTATAAGAATAAATAGACAAAAAGAGTCGTAATAGAACTCGTTAGGCTATATATAATATATCATCAAAATTAATGTCTCGACGTATACCCTCAAGATTTGTTCGACTTTGTCAAGACAGTGTTTTGACACGCGACATTTCTATGATAAAATAATCAATCAAAAATAAATAAAAACATTTCTAAACTAAATAGAATTTCTTTTTATTGCAAACTATTTGAAAAAAAAGTTCAAAATCAAACAAACTCATAATAGAATATATATAAAAATGGTTTTCTTTTTTTTCAAAAATAGGAGTATTTGATCGTTTTGTTTACATTTATGGTCATACATCATCAAATGTTTCAGTCTTATCAACATGGTGTCGTCGAATATCAACAAAATCTGGTACAATTATATTATTAATTTTACCTATATTATGTAGTTTACCTATTGCCATTTGTAATCTACTTCATGCACATATTTTACGTGCACCATCACAAATAAAAATTTGTGTTGTACAATATGCTAATGGATTATTAATAAGTCTTTTAATATCATTTTATATATTACCATTATTACTTTCATTTTTTCTTCATGCTAAATTGATCTATTTTATACGATCAAAACGTACACAACGATATTTAGCAACAACACCTCATGCATTACTCACAAAAAATACTAATACATTAGATTCACAAGCTATATCACAGAAAAATCAACGTCGAACAAATCCGAAGATTCTTACGAATAATCAACTTTTATTACAAACAAAAACTAATAAGACGAATGCACGAAATCAACGTGTCGTTATGTTTAATACAAATACAGCTGGAAATGCACCGCGAACAATTATGACAACAACAACAGGTGGTCAACAAGTTCCAACAAATAATTCTTCAAATTCTTCAGCATCAAGTCGTTCATCAACTAGTACAGGTTATATGTCATTAACATCACCAGTTATACTTTATAAGATTAATTCACAAGCAAATGCAAATGCAAAACGTACAGTATTATTACTTGTTTTATTACTTTCATTTTATGTTCTTTGTTGGGCTCCATATAATATTTATACATGGCGTCATGCTTATCAAGTAGCAACAAAAGATCAAAATCCACAATTAACTAATCGTACATCAACATATGATTATAATTTAACAATAACAGCATCTATAGACAATCTTCATGCAAATTTACGTCGAATTATATTTATTAATTATTCATTATATCTTTTATCAATGATATCAATGTGTTTTAGTTTTATACTTTATTTTTCACTTAATAAACAAGCTCGTCAAGAATTTTCACATTTTATTGGTTGTATATGTCCACAATTTGTTGGTCCACGTCAAGAAGAATATAATAGACAAAAAGTTAAACAAGATAATGAAAGAGGAAGACGTCTACAATATCATACAAGATATCAACATCATTATCCTTCAAATAATCAACTGTTATTACTTGCACATAATAATAATCAACGAGTGAAAACAACGAGATTTAATACGCATCCAATGATTGCACCGCCAGTTCCTTTACATAGCGACAGACAAAAACGTGCAAATTCTGTTGAACAAAAGTTAGAAAGTGCATTATCAAAACGAACAGTACTGACATATGGTTGTCATATTCAATGTTGTCCATAATTTATTTTTTTTCTATATATTGTGAACAAAAAAAGATTCGGTGTTTATTTTATTTTTGTTAAAAATTTATTTATTTATTTATTTATTTATTTATTTTGTTTTGTTATAAAATGAAACGAGAGAAAGAAATAAAAAAAAAGAAATTTAATAATGTTATTAAAAGTTAGAAATTTTCCTTTATGCAAATCAATACCAATCAGGATGAATAAAAAAATATTCTGGATAAACTTTTTTTGTATAATTAAAAAAAGATGATCGATTATTTTCAGGACGAACATTTGGTACCATATCTTCACGAGGATTTATTACACGCCATGTTTGAGATAAATAACGTCGATTTACTTTATTATTTTCATCAGCATTATTTATATTCGATAAATTATTATCAGTTGTATTTTGAGGTTGAACTGTTTCAGTAAATTTATCTAATGATGTTACTGAACGTTTTGAATATTTTTCTGTTTTACGATCATTTTTTATTTCATTAACATTAGGTAATGGAACTGTTGTTGGAGTTGCAGATGTTTGAATACCTTTTTCATGAACCGGTGATGAAGGACGAAAACTAAAAAATTTATTTTTATCAAACAATTCTAAATATAATCTCTATGTTTGTTTCTTTAAATCAATGTATATATAGTTTCATTGCATTTGAAGTTAATAACTTTCTCTTTCAAAATTCAAATTTCTCTAACAGAATCATTTGTTACAATAATATACTTTTTAGTTCTCAAATATTTATTCTTTTGCAAAGTCAATAAAAAATATGTTTCTTCTCTTTTTTTCTATTTATTGATCTGATTATATATTTGAAGATTAAACGTATTTTGAATGGTTTCATCAAAGGATTATTCATGTTAATTTTGTTGGAAAATGAGACATAACACATAAATAAATACATTATTATAATTACCTTTCTAATGATTCAAGGACTTCTCCAAGATCATGTTTCGATGCTCGACTTTCATGTCCCTGATTACTTGATGATGATGATCGTCGTTGTGATGAATGATTTGATAAACGTCCTAAAGACGTACTTACTCGACTAGGAAGTTGAGAACCAGTTGATTTTTGACGTCGTCTAAAACCTATTCGATCTTCCTTTTGAGAACGATCTTCATCTTTATCATAGAGAGTATTAAGAAAACTGAACACAGCACGACGATCTAAAATATTTCAAAGATTATCAATTACAAAAAACTATCATCAATCTACCATCAAGTGAATGATTTGAAAACCATGATTCCATGCTTTGTTTTGGCCAAATTTTTTGTTTCAATTCATATTTATGACGATTTGATGTTATTGGAGAATGATTTTGAGATGAATATGGTACGACACCAGGTTTATGTAAAGATAAAGTACGATTATGATATGTATCAAGATTATTATGAGACTAAACAGATAATAAAGTATTCTGATTAGAAAATCTGTATACTTGTTTTCATTAATAATAACATCTACTTACTCGATGCATATTTAAGAAGCAACGATAATGATGTCAGCCGAAGACAAATAATAATAACAAAACAAGAAAAAATATGTTACTTCTTACAATTTATTAATGTAAATTTTGATTGTATTTGATCGTTTTTTATGTCTCAAAATAAAAATGAAATAGGCAACAATTGTGTCAACGACACAGAACATAGAGAGAGAGAGAGAAAAAAAGTGAGAAAAACCTTTCTCTCACTCTTTCTCTCTCTATCCAAGATAATAGAGCATCGATCAATATTTATATCCTTACTCCGGATGTGTATATGTATGTTTGTATCTAAATGCTGCCTTGGTGACTATCCAAGGTAGATTTTTAAACGAGAGAAGAATAATTGATGTATTTACTATAACAAATAAAACGAGATGAGTTTTTGTTTTTTCTCGTAGTCATACTACAAACTTTGATTAAGGAATCAATCTGAGCATATTGAAATTTATTTAAAAAAAAAATGCAACAGGATGTCGTTACTATGATTGACTAATTGATGATCGATCAATATAAATGAATCATATAGGGTCTTTATTTCAAGTAATAAAGTGAAGCAAAAAAAAAATAGTTTGATGTAAAGAAATGTTAAATTTTCAAAAAAAAAAAAAAAAAGAATTCCATATGTCTCTTATAATAAAGTGAAATTTATTTTTTCTTCTTTAGATAATCATAAATGAATATCTTAGGCATCTTTTAGTTCAGGTGGTAATTCACTTTTTGGATGCTTGCTTTCGAAATGCTGTTTATAAGTTTTTGGATCACCCATTTGTGCCTAAATAATAAAAGAAAATCAGAAAATTTATTTGAAAAAATAAAAAATTATTTTTCTTACTTTACACACCGGACATTGGAAAGTTAAGCCAGCAGCTTAAATTAAAAATATCAATTAAATTTATATATTATATTCGATCTAAATATTTTCTTACCAGCAGTGCCTTTTTGTGTAGTCGGCTTACCTCCGGCACCAGTTTTTTCATTACGTGCACGAGCCAATTCTTTTTGATGACCTCGAGCCATTTTCTTTTACAATCGTAAAATAACCTCGTAATCTAAAAAACAAAAAAGCAAAATTACATTATGTACTATATATACAACTACAAAAAAATCCTATGTCTGATGAATATGAATATTAATTGTTGGTCTTATAATTCGTACGGCACCACTACCGTGATGTCTTCGACGACGAAAATTTGGTCGAGAAAGTCGACTAATACCAGAATTTTGTCGTTCATGATGATCGATATTATTATTGCGATTTGTTGTTGAACTTCCTAATGCTGCATTGACAAATTCATAAGCCGTATTATTTTCAGTAGCTGACTGAATCAATGGAATACCAACTGTAGAAATAGTTGAAAAGATAAAATTACAAAATGTACGCCATTTAGATATTGGCCGTTGATCAGGAGTTGTATTTTGACCACGATTGAAAAAAATATTTCCTGTTGCTAAAAGACCATTGAACAGTATACCCCACATGATGTACGTAATTGAAATGACGACGAATCTAAAAGTGAAGTTTTACATTCTATTGATATTGCGTAAAACAGAAAGAGAAAAGACTGAATAACTTTTTACAGATAAATAAAACACGTGAACATGATTCATAAAAGGATTAATATGTATTAATGTTGGAGTAGTAACTATACGAATTCAAGTTTGAAACATCTAAACATGATCATTTACTTCCATATAATAATAAAATAAACATATATTTATTTGCATTAACAAATAATTTTTACTAGATCAATAGAGGGCAGCACTTTACAATTGTAGAAATCATTTATTTAGAATTATGATCCAGATAAAAGAACAAGAGCGAGGTAATTTAAGGTGTTTTACCAATAACTAAAAATAGAATAATTTTATATTTCAATTATTTGATGAAATTAATATTAGTGTAAAAATTTTACATGAACAAAATAGTTTGAAGTTTCATGAATCTTTATTGTAAATATAGAAGAAAAAATATGTCTAACACAGTTGTCTAGATTAGTAAATCTTTAGTTCTTGATTTATTGTAATGAGAAAAAAAAGCTTTAATAAATTCATTGTAGCAATTTTTGTAACCAATTCATACGAATTGATGGTAAGGTTGTAAACATAACAGGTCCATCTCGTGAAAATGTTTTATAATTGATAATACTTTCATACAATTTCTAGAAACGAAAAAAATTTGTTTTTTCTATAAAACAAATTCAAAAAATAAACCTTTTCATTTGTTGATACAATTTGTAAATTTTTTATAATTGTTTGTTGTATACTAAATTGTTCAGAGCGTGTTTGATCAAATAGGAATGCATTAAGATGATGTACAGCAATCATATATAATAATGGTTGAATTGTATTTTGAATTGTTCCAGTTAATAAAACTTGAGCATAATAACGAATCATTTCAAGATCATTTTCATATGGTATAAAAAATGTTTCAAGTGAAAATAAAAGCTAGAAAAATTCAATAGTTAGTTTTTTGATAAAAAAAAATAGAACAATAAGAAAGAATACTTGATCAGGTTTTAATCGAATATATTTTAAGATAGTTGAATGTTCAATCCAAACTTCTTTACGTAATTGAATATCATATGTTTGTTGTAATGGAACAAGAAGATAATTTGAATAAAGTATATCACCAAATGAACATGCTTCGTATTGATCAACAAGTGAACGATAACTAGAAATTAATTAATAAAGTTTTCTTAAATCGTAACTAGATGATTAACTTACAAATCAAAAAATGTCATTAATGATTGAATAGTACTTCTTGTTTCAAGTTTTTGTAATAAATGTTGTTCATTAAAACAATTTAAAAAGGCAACAAGATAATCTGCAATATTTTTTTCAAGAAATATATCTGAACCAAGTAAATATATGCCTGCAATCATCGAAAAACGTGTTGTTTTGGTTAACATTTTAGATAATATTAAACTATGTTTCATTTCTAATATATAAACAAAACGTAATGCATTCAATATAACTTCCAATCGTTTATCATCTTCCTTAATAGTTAAAACATTCGTATATAATGATGAAAGTAAACCATATGGCCATGTTACATCAATTAATGTATATGAATAATGAATATTTAATTTAAATAAATCATCTGTTTGAAATAAATTTCCAAAATGAATATCACATATATTCAAATCAATTGATGAATGATTTATATGAAGAATATTCTTATAATAAGTATATAAAGATGGTAAATGTTCAATAGCTCGTTCATAAAGTAAAGTACGATGAGATGAAGATATAGTTAGAGATTCATTTGATGCTAAACAAAGAGTTTCATGTGTAATTAATGATAAATCAGCTAATTCGCTTTCATTTGATCTGTTTAAGAGAAATAAAAAAATGAAAGAATATTTCTTTTCATGTAAATTACCTTTTCCAATAAGATAAATCGAAGAAAACAAATTTAAAAATTTCTTGTGCAAGATAATGATAACCTTTTAAAAGTGATGGTAATAATGAAAGTAGTATTTCATAATAAACTGATGGTAAATCATTCTCAAATTTCTAAAAATAGAAAGAAAACAGATTCAATTTAGAATCTTTCATTAACTGTTTTTTTTGTATAAACTTACTTCTTGTTTAATTACTTGAATAAATTGAAATAAAAATATATGTTCGAATTGTTCAAACCATGGTGTTTTACGTGTTCTTGTTGAGGTTAATTTATTTAACATATTCTTAATATAAACAACAATTTCACTATTTTTTGTTAACATTAATTGACTAATAAATTTCTTCTAGATAAATCAAAAGAAAATGATTTAAAAAAAGGAAAGATTTTGTTTTTAATTTTTACCGTAACAGCTAATGATTTATCTATTTGATAGATAATATTTGTTAAACGAAGTAAAGCAGTTAGAAAACCAAATGGAGATATATTTCTTTGTGTTAATGCTGGAAGATTTATAGCAGAATTTGTTGAAGATATTGCTGTTCTATATTACATATTATTATTTTTTTTTCATAGAAATATAAATAAATTTATTCTTACTCAAATTTAACATTTTCAATAAGTCGTTTGATTGATTTAAGACGAAGAATAGGTTCAAAAAATTGATCACGAATTTGTTTGACTTTTATTGGAAGATCTAATAAATTGATCATCTAAGAAAATAGAAAACTAATTAAACTATCAATAATATGAATTTAATAGAAACCAATAGTTGTTGACCAGTTAAAAATGATGCTAAACATGATAAACATACTGTTCGAAGAGCATCAAGATCAATCTAAAGAATATTATGATGAATTTAATGTAATATATTATATGAAATTACTTGTTCATCAGTTTCTATCATCGTTTGTTTTCCAATTGTTAAAATCATATCAAAAAGACCATCAATATGTGACCAATTGACAACATTTGATAAATCATCGGATGTATTTCTATTGAAAAATATTTAATACAAATTTTATAAATTCATTTTCCTCTATTTACCGATGTTTGGAAATAAATTTTGTAACATGTATTATTAATGCATCAAATAATGTTATAAGTTGAACTAATATTTGACTAATAATCATATTTGGCATTTGTCGAATACATAGTTGACAAAGTGGTAGAATCACTGTTGGCATCAAAGAACTATTTCAAATAAATAACATTCGAATTTAGAATATAAGTTATCATAAAATATAGAACACTGAGTGTATGATCATGATATCTTACCCAAATTCGTTTGCCATATGACCTTGTAAAATAAATACACGCCAAAGAGATAATAATTCAGGAAGAGTTTGATTGTCTTGTAACGAAGATGAAAGACTAAAATGATATTAATTGAACTGAATTGTATTATATAAATAACTTTCACTTACTTAACTGCAGTTACTAAATGATTTCTTAAACGTTTATTAAGTTCATAACGATCAATAAGATTAAATGCTAAAGTACTTCCATGACTTGCTAAAACTCGACAAAATTTTAAAGCTTCTGGAAGTAAATGTTCATAAACATGTCCCTCTTCTATATAAATAAATAAAAAAAGTGTTGATAATTTTTTAATTTAAATTTACCAGTAGGTACAGAGATTTCTGGAATAAATTCTCGAATAATAAAATCCATTAATTGTCTTTCTTCAAAAATCTATTAGAAAAAATACATTTGAATTTTCTTTTTGTTTTTTGCAAATGATTTCAAATAATAATTTACTTGATTTGCACATGTCATTGAATGTCTTGCCATGCGTATAAGAATATGAAATGAATGTTTAACAGGAATAGTAATTGTCGGTGGTGGTAATAATTTCATTCGATCAAATAAATAAACAAGACGTTTTAATACATTCATACGAAATAAACATTTTATTAAATCTTGTTCTAAGATTTCGATATCTGTTAAATCTGATTCACTCTTTTTTTCACCTAAATCTATATCTGGTGGTGTTAATAGTGGTTCATAATATCCACATGGCCAATGATTTGTTTGAGAAAGAATTTCCTACGAAGAAAAAATAATTTACAATAAATAAAAACTTTTTTCCCTTAATTACTTCATCTTTTCTTGGTGCGATTAAATTTGCTAAACATTCAATAGCTACCATATATACAGATTCAATTTGTTCATCCATAGCCCAACGTATAAGAAAAAGAATACCAGCTTCAATTAATTTAGGTATTAACGGTAATTGAAGATCACGATCATAGATACCAGTATGAGCCTATATTAAACGATGAAATATGATGTGTTTCGTTTTTTGTAAGATGTAAAAATAAACAAACTTGACGAATTATATTTGATAATGTTTGAAGAGCAATAACACGTTGTTGAAGAACAGTTGAACGAGAAAGATGAAATAATTCGTCTAATGTATAACCAGCAGCTTCGGGTTCTTCACCATGATGATGAAGAGCTGCTGTAACAGGAATATCAGCTGTACGTGACATTAAATTACCTTTGAAATCAAAACGAGCTGGAACTCCTTCTGCATTCTAGGAGAAGAAGAAGAGAACAAATATATTAGATATTTTGTATATAACTTACAGTTTCATCAATTGTTCGTTGAATTGATGGTTTTGGTAAATCTTTCATCCATTCTAATTTTTCATGTTCAATATTATTCATATGAACCCATCGAGAATCAATTTCAATTGGAAGTATTGTTTTTTCTGTTTGATTATCTACATCCATCTTTTCAGCAGTTGTTTTTTCATTTATACGAATAATTTCATCTCCTTCTTTTTTACTTCTTTTTCGAATGAATGCAATTAATTTTGGATCTATATAATAAATAAATCTCTGAGAATGATTTTTCTTTTTTTATTACCAAGTGTATTTAATAGTTTGTCTTTTTCTGCTAAAATTTCGTTTTCATCCATTGATTTTAATCGTTCAGTATTTTCATCATGAATTCGTTGAATGTCTCGTTCACCAATTACTTCACCGAGGCCAGTACCAGTTATTAAACTTGAACGTGGTATATGTTGATTAGTCGATGCTATTTTTGTTTCTTTTAATTCTTTACATGTTTTCAATTTTCCATCACGATACATTTGTTTGGCAAATAATGAAGCTTTTTTAACATTTGGTAAAGTAATTTTCTAATAAAAGAAAACAAAAAGAATTTTAATTCTTAATGAGAAGGATATCTTTTACATCAAGATCATCTTCATTGCCACGATGTTTTGCTTCTGGAAATGAATCTGTAACAGGTATTGGCATTTGTATAGGAGTTGTACTAACATCTCGTTCCTAAAAACTTCATATATAGAATAAACATTTTTTTTTATTTTCATAGATTGTACTGAAAGAAATTTTTCTTACAATAATAACTGGTCGCATAACAGTTGTTTCAGTAAGATCGACATTTGGTGATTTTCTTTTTTTATCATCATTTTCATTTGATTGTTGACGTTTTACTTTTGGTTCCCGTATGACTTGTGCTGATGGTTGCATATTAGAACGATTAAATAATTCTTGATAATTTAACATTTCATCTTCGGCATCATCACTAATACCAAATTTCGGTTTTGGACGCATTCCTAAATCCTTATCCATTTTTTGTTAAGTAATAAAATATAAAATGAATATGAAAAAGTATTGCACATCAAAGTTGACATTTTCAATAGACAAAATATAGACCAATCAAATATTAGCTAAAACTCACTTAGACTATACTGCCACTATATGGATATGAATTCAATTCAAAAGAGATTACGCAAAAATTAATATTAATTAGATATAGTTATCCGATACAAGATGAAAGACAAGCATTGATTAAAGAATTTGTTTTACATCTTTATGAAAAAAAAAAGATTTAATAGTAAAGATTCTTATACAAAATTCAGTTCAATAAATGACAATATATATTCTAGTTTTTGAGTTTTTAGATGGCATCTTGTAATAAAAAATTATATATAAATAGTTATCATGAATTAAAAAATGTAATTAAGAAAATAGAAAAAGACAAGCGTATTTTTGTATTCTTTAGTGGTGCAAAAGATACTCAGGGATATAGTTGGTATATGAAAAAAAATGATAATAATACTTGTTGAATTTAACTGTTATTGTGTTTTACATAGGTGTCAAGACTGTAATGCGATAGAAAAGCCATTAAATGAAATAGTTGCATCATTATTACCATCAAATGGAATCTTTATTGAATGTTCCGTAGGTGATCGAGCAAGGTAAGAAAATTTGTAGCGAAACAATGATCATAATGTTATATGTTTTTATTCAGTTGGAAAGATTCAAATTGTTTATTTCGAAAAGATTCACAACTTCGATTAACAAATATACCAAGTTTAGTTGAATGGGGAACGGTAGAAAATATGAATTATATTTATTAAATCATTTCTTCATATATATTTAGAGTAAACGTTTGACTGAAAATCAATTATATGATCCTGACATGATTCAAATATTGTTTGAAGATGATTAATATATATTTCAAATACATATATGTACTGCTTTTCGATTCAATGATAAATAAAAAGATACAGTTTATATACATCTGTTAAGCTATGTATACATAAAGGATTGCATCTATCTGGATGTTGTCATTCAATGATAAATCATCTATATGTATCAAATACACATAATTATTCAGCAAGAGAATTATCTTTGTTCTTCTTATCTGTATAAGATTGATGACTCTGATTTTTATTGTAAGAAAGGGTAAAATATCAACTTTCGATAATCGAGTAAGTACTATTGGAAAAAAACGTACTTTCAAATGTGAGCTATTCATTGTAGAAGATTGATTATATACGTACATATATATTAAATACATATATAGGAAAAGAAATTAAATAAAACGATCATTTAGTTCTATCGAGATCATACTTATAATTTTTCATTACTCATTATATCATATGGTTAGCTATGTATTTTTAACAAGTACAAATTATTTATAGAGTAATAAATACCATGCAACAGATTGTATATCTATATTAAAGTACAAATTTTTGTCTGTGGTTTCTAGAACTGACACGCATACAAAGTAAAATAACATACTGCATAAAACTAACAAAATACTATCGATGATATCTTGTTGATTGACAAGTTTTCTTTTACTGAATGTATACAAAATTAACCTACGCGTCACGAATACAAGTTGACAGTTTCTTCTTTTTCTTTTTCTTTCTTATCTGTAATGTCAATTTTAGACATTGTACATCATTAACATCACCGATCAAAATGGAATAATATACAATAAAGCAAAAAAAATACAGGAAAATCGATATACCATCAGTAATTTTTTTCTTTTAATCTTGACTTGTCCGCTCTGTTGTTATTCATCTTGATTGAAGCAAGTCATATATATATATATATATATATTTCCAGTATTTCTTATTCTTTCTACAGAATATGCATTGCTTATTCTCGATAGTGAAAGATAAACAGAAGTATTTATAGTTCATTTTATTTCTAGATATATTTCTACATTCTTCTGTATATCTAAAACGTAAGTAACATCTACTTTATATTTAAAATATGCCTTGCTTATAGTCATGATAATAACGTTTGAATATTTCTCAAATAAAATAAATTGATTTGAAAATTATTTTTATTTATTTGTTTAGAATGCCTTTTGGAAATCAAGAAATCAATCGATGTCCTCGGTGTAATCAAGCTGTTTTCCATGCTGAATCAATTCCAGCTGCTGGAAAACAATGGCATAAAACTTGTTATCGATGTGGTCTATGTAAGAAAATGTTAGAAGCTATGACAATGGCTGAACATGAAGGTAATGTATTTTGTAAACAATGTTATTCACGTAAATTTGGTATTCGTGGTGTTGGATTTGGTATTGGAGCTGGAGCTCTTGGTATGGATACCGGTGATCGATTTGGAAATACTGAATCACTCTCGTACGTAAACATTTCTATTTGATTTCTATTTAGATTTCAAAGATCTTTTCTTTTAGCAATAAACCAAACTATCCTGTACCACCAGGTGCTGCAGCTGCAGCTGCTGCCGCCAATAGCAGACACGCTCCAGCCGCAGATACAGAAGAATAAGTCATATTATACTAGATTGCAATAAAAACTCCGTCTATAATAATCCACGGTACAAAATCCAATGGTCTAGAACTTTGTTTGCAATATATATCCTTAATAGTTTTTAGGTGTTTCTTTTTTTTCTTCTAAAGTCATTTTATGGTATTTTATTTGTTCGTGTTACACGTTTAATAATAAAGAAAATTAAATTAATTTTACTCAAGCATATTCCAATAATAATAATTCAATTTTCGTTCTGTATTTTAATTACATTATTTTGATTAAGATGAATAAATATTAAAAATAATAGCGTATTATTTCATTTTTATTCACTAAATAGATTTTAATAATTGTTAACTGTAGTAGTTGCTGCGTACTATCTTTTTTTAATGCGATGCGAAACATTTCTATATATTTTCTTCGACGCTTAAGTTTTGTTATGAAAATATCAAGTCTGTATCAGAATTTCGTAATTCGTTGATTATCGCACTTACAACTGACGAATTCAAACGAATGAAGGTGACAATATAAAAAAAATGTTTTATAAAAATAAACTTGTACTTGAAATGAGTAATACATATAAAGTATACTAATATATGCAGCATGAAAAACTGGCTAGCTTGCATAACATTGGTTATATTGTAGCTACGTTTACAGTTGTATCTTTTATATAATGTCCCAGGTAATTAAAATATTAAATCGATAACTTAGAAATTTTATTCATATACAATACTTCTGAATAAGTTAAAAAATATTGTGTTTTACATTAAATTTTATTTAAAAGATGGTGATTATGATTAGTGAGGGAAAAAAGATAATAAAAATTATATTCTTGATCATTCATTGTGAACAACATCGGTTCCGAAGATAAGAGCCTTCTGATAGGCGTTAAATTTTTCCAATGACACTTTTGGTAGATCAGTTCTAGCACCTCCTAAACATCAACGCAGACAAATATATTTTTATCAACACTTTCAATTAAAGAACTTACCTCCTTCAACAAGTTCTGTACTCCAATGATTTGTAGTACAATTATTTTTCACCATTTGTTTTCGTTTTTCACGAAATTCATCGAGTGTTTGACCGTGTATGAATGAAGGTGGACTCATCGAAACATAAGCCACAATACGTAAGAGATCAACCGGCTCATCTTTTTGTAGTTCACCGATTGCAGTAGCCGGTGAATTACAATGAATTGTTCGACTGTCCCAAAGAACCAGGTCACCTACCTGACAATGAACCAATTTTCCTAGTGTTTTACCTTGATTTATAATAGGATGATCGCTAGGAACCTTGACATAATCACGCGAATCTTTCATTATGTCACATAATTCAGTGAATCGCAAATGTGATGGTGGAAAAACGATAAGACCACCTGTTTTTTCGTTTTGATTCGTATGCGAAACAAAACCTTGAATGCAACAGCGATTCGGTTTATTCTTTGGATTTTGATCAACATGATTCCAACCACCATTTGTTTTCCATATTGGATTGTAGCGCCAATCACGAAATATTCCACATCCATCGAAGGAAACCAATAACTGCTGAGTATTCCATAAACGAGCATAGAATTTTTTAACTTGTGGATTCGATCGAATATTCCACATAAAATCAGATTGACCGATGCCATCTCCGCTAATGACACCATGAGTACCAAAACTGGGCCTAATTAAATAAAAGAAAGTCAGTTTTTTTTCTACATAAAACTAAATATGATTGATATACCAGTTACTTGACCATGTTTCAGGTTGATCGCGTTGAATGGTACCGTTTGAAAAATCTGCCAGATATTTCCACAGCAAGTTCTTGCTTTCATTAATCTCATCCTGATTCATGACATCGCTGATCACGACATAACCGTTTTCATTCAAATATGTCAAGCCTTTCTTCAATGCTTCATCATCTTCGAGTGAAAAGCGTTCAGTTGGTGTTGTATAATCAATTTGAATATCAGCTTTTGTTAAATTAACGGATGTTTGATCCATATGGAGTGATTAAGTATTGTACTGAGCAACTGTGCCTCTGTGATCTATAGGCGCTGTTCTTTATATAGTATCGAGTCTTTCGTGTAGGAGAGAATGACTCACATATCTACAATGTAAATTATTATTTCGTAAGAACAGTGAAACGTCATGATGAATTTCTACATATCCATTGTATATAATACATTCTTTCCCTTCTCTTGTACTTGCTTTGTTTTCACTAATTCCTTTTGTTTATTAACATTTTCCCCCACATTTCTGTCTTCCTCCATCACGCTTCCACTCCTCTAATATTTCTTCTTCGCCTTTATAGATTGATTATCAATAAACTTCACACATTTATAAAATATTTACTTTGTGTTTTTTTTTCATTTCTTTCGCGGAATCACAACATCAGATAGGAATCAGTACATGAGAACGAGGTTCGATATATCTAAGCAAGGAAATTATTTTTAATAGGCTGAAAATCTTGAGAATGTAGACGTTGGTGCGAGTGATGAGATTAACATTCAAATTCACAGTATAGATCATTAACAGTCAGATAGGATAATTATTAAAAGAGAAACATGTTTTGTAAATGACTATTTTATAATATTATGTGAATGTTCTCTTTTTATCATACACTTTCAGTATAAATTCTCTTTATTTTTATCAAAATACGATTTTAAATAAAGAATATAAAAGTCAATAAAATCAAAAACAGTTCATTAACATTTATTTAATTGATCGACAAAATTAGTATTTGGACGTATAATTGATCTTTCTATTTGGACATAATTCATTTTATATTTATTCATAATGTAAACAATTACTATCGACGCACTTCGAGATATACCAGAAACACAACGGATTAATATCTTTAAATTATTTTGTTCTAATGAATCATCGATTTCAATTATTTTATAAATAATTTCATTGAAATTTACTTTCATTCCTTTGCCTAATATTAATACATATTCGATATTGAGTTCAAATAATTTATTTTTATCAACACCAGCTTTTTGTGATCCTAAATATATGTTGTCAATTATATAGTTTGGAGGTTCATATTCAAGATTAACGTGGAATAGATTTAAATGTTTGATGTTTGTTTTATAACAAAATTCACATAAATTTATACTGTCATACATCTTATTACTTTTATTTCCACAAATAGTAGTCCATTACTGATTATTTTATGTTTTTAATATCTTGTTGATTGTGTATGTTTTTACATATGCAAAATAAAAAACAAAACGTGTGCAACTGTAAATATTAACTATGTAATATTTCTACGTGTCTTCAATCTACAACAAATAATGAGTTATATCACGATTAGTTTTCGAAAATTGTATTGTAAATGTTAAATCAAAGACTTTTTCAAATGGAATAAATTAGAAAAAAAGAAAAAAGACATTTGATTTGCTAATCAGAGATGTAGACAAAGGTTGTTCGAATGAATCAATTTCATTAACAATCACTTGTCTCTATAATCAGTTTTGTGGTAATATTATTTATAATATCTAATTGATATGTTCAAAGCATTGGTTATTTGTCATGATTATCATTTGAAACGTGAATATTGGAATAGTAGTAATCGAAATTACATTAATCGTGGTTTATACTATACAGTTCATTAAATCGTCTTAATTTACAATCATATCGGATTCTGATCGATATCGTTCTTTTTGCAATTCAATGTGTAAAATGTACATTCGACAATGGTTATTGGTCTGAATCAAGTCTTTTCAATTTAATGAAAAAGATATGTTTAACTGAATTAATTATTCGTGTTAACATATTTCTTGAAACAATTCAAAAAGAAATCTTGAAACTAATTCTTGATGAATGCGTTAAGAAAATGAAAGTACCACTATCGGCATATTTAAGGGATAGGTATTTTGATCTACTCAAATATTTAATAGAACACAATCGAATCAATGAAATCATCTTTTTCTATCAATATAATAAACAAATGAGATGTTTCTTTGATACACAAGATAATATTCGAAATTTTTTTTGTGTAATGTTTGGAAGTCGGCAAGGTAGACAATTATTTAATAAATTTATCGATCAAAAATTATTAAAATCTTGGTGGACAAATGGACAGTGGTTGTTCTTCTTGTTAGACAGCAATGAAAATGGATTTCTTAAGAAATTATTTGATATCTATCCATCGCTAATACATATGTTGGATAAAGATAGAAACAATTCATTATTATATGTTTGTCTTACCGTTGATGGTCGTCGACATTCAATAATCAAATTGCTTATTGAAATTGGATGTAATCAACAGATAGAAACTTCCATGGTCAAACATTCAACGATATTTTACAACTGGAAAAAAATAGTAAAATATTACAATATTTGAAAACCGAGAACTTAATGAAAACTCAGGATTAAACAAAGGGCAATTAATTTCTGAATCATCCGCATATACTTTCATTCGAAATCTATCATTTCGATATTAGCTGGCCACATCTGTTTATGCTACTTTTTTTAAGTAATTGATTCGAAAGTTTGAGGGTGTGGGTTTAGATGTGAATATGAACGAAGAAGAGATACCCCCATCCATCCTCAAGATTCTTCCAGGTCCAAAGGCATATGTACAAGCTGTAAAAAAATCCTCAAATCTTTAGTTATAAATCTTATCGTCTGTAAAAAAATAAACTTCATTTAAATTCTTTTATTTTATATATCAATGACTAAAAGATATAAAAATATGAAAGCTTTGATAAGGACAAAAGCCTATACACTCGGAAAAATTTGTAATTGCGCTCAAATCATCTCATAAATCTAAAGAGAGATAAAATTGTATTAGATATAATATCAAATAAAAAGACATACATTATATTGAAGGGTGTGGGTGTGAATGAAAGAGAGACATCCACGTCCTCTTTAACCAAATCGTCGAAAACATCTTGACATAATTCTTGAGGGTGGGTGTGAATGTGAGTATCATATTTATATCCTATTCAAAACCACACCTACCCACACCCTCAAGATGATCACTATACGACAATACTTTTTCTTTTTCTAAATTTTCAAGAAGCGGTAATAATATATCATTTGGTGTATTATCACCAGTGGTGATTCTATTAAATCTAAAAATATTATCATTCAAAATCAGTTCATCGTTAGGAGGGTGAGAGTACCTTTGAACAATTTCATATGCAGGAGAATTTGCCAGAACTAAAATAAAACAAGTATTTTTATTATTTATTGTCAGTCTTGCATACTTACCAAGATTATTAATTGATTCATTATTATTTCTTTTTTGTTTTTTTCGTGATGTTGGTTATGGAACTAAAATACCTGCAAAAAAATATAATAATAGTTGAATATGGATTCTAGTCGATTTAGAATTTCATTTCAATCACATACTACCACTTTCGAAATAAAGTACTATGAGAGCATTCAAAATTATACACCACCATCATTCTTATGATGAGCAACGTGCCTATTATGTGTGTATAGATGATCATGCAATTTGTGATTACCTTCTATCACTAGTGGTATTGTTGAAGATTGAGTGAATTTCTTTAAATTTCTTCTAACAGTCCCATTGATCGACGACGAATTCTCATCTATAATAACATTGTTTCATTCTGATCCCAGTTTTTTTTATTATTTGTTTCATATTATCTAAAACAAGCAAAAAATCTATTAGTTTGTACATATAGAATTCTAATGATTACAGCATATTTGGTGAACGACAATTGTGATAGCTTTATTAAATGACGAGTTGATCGACACAATCTGTAGAAAAGATGCACATATACGAATATATATATGTATATGTATTTTTTCCGCGACGAGTCTATTGTTCTTGAGGGTGTGTGTGTAGATGTGTGGATGTGGTAGTGATGTATTCTAAGGATATCCACGCCCATACCCACACCGATAAAATATGTTTTCAATATTTCAACTGGTCACGTGCTATATATTGCTTTGGTTCTTGAATCTTCGTCAATTTTTCTAACATTAGCATCCTTTAAATCTTGTTTATCAATAATTAATAAATCGATCGATTTTAAAGCATATTTAACTGTGTTCTCTTTTGTACTATGTATTTTCAGTAAATCAACCACAATACTATCACTTCTAGTAAACATCTAAAATGAAAAAATAGCAAGCAAGGAGACGGATGTGGATGTGGGTACTCAATTCATCACACATGCTTCTACGTGCACGGCCACCTACATTCACACTGTCACTAAACATTGAGTGTATACCTAGTTTTATAATAGTGTTGAATTTCAGTGAAGATGATCGATTAGAAAACAAACTCTCTTAACATGTATTATATGTGCATGAAATTTAAAAGTATATGTATTAATATCTTTTTGTTCTTAAAATGAAGCATGTTACCTATAGATTCATTAACGATCTTTTATCTATATTTAAGAAGCAAAGAAAATCGATAATTAGATCGAATAAACCAGAGGGGTACGTAATATCACACGTATATTCCACTATGTCAGATAACACAATTATTTTTACTAAATATATCCTTCTGATTGAACTAGCAAATTATCAGATAGGTACATCTTGCATAAATACACCCACCTAGAAGAACAACTTTACCGAAGGAAATATGCCATCCCTAATTTAAAACAGCAAATCAACAGGAAACACCGAAAGTAATATTGTAAAATGGATAGAAAAATAGAAAGAATTTTATCATCATTCTAGTTTTTTTATCATAAACTAATATCCTTATACTGAACAGAACGGATTTATTATGGCGACAGTTTTCTTTTCTTTTTGTTATTGAATCCCAACATCAAATTCAAATGACATTGTTGTTGTCAGTAGCAATGATATGTATTGGCTTTTTTCATCCTTACAAGCTAAGTATTAATTTAAATTTCGAAAGAACGTTGTGCTAATTCGATCAACTATGTAGTTTCATATCAATCACGAATTATTACCTTTTTAGAAAAGCTTCCTTTTTCAGATAAACCTATAAGAATTAAATACGATCTGATCTTTTAGTTAAGTTTATTGTCTGAGGAAAAAACTGATTACATTTTACTTAAATAGATTTGTCTAATTTGACGCATTGTTAAGATAAGTTCCTCTAGGCCTTGTACTGTTCGTCCATTCTCGAATGTTACTCGTTTACTTCCATTATTCCAATCAACTTGTATCCATTCTGCTCCACCATCAGCACAATCAGGACATCCGATTCTATCATCTAATTTTTGAAAAATGTCCAAGTTAACAGAACTAACAAGTTTGTTCCATTCACTGAAGATTATAGGTGATGTAACATGAATTGGTGGATAACTTGCTTGATTAGAATTTGCCTCTCTTGAAATAACAACTTGGAGAGGATCAGACATCAGAGTTATTGACTGACGACAACGTCCAACACATCGACCAAATGAAGTTCCACTTGAAATCGATATGAAATCATCATTCTTTGCACATGTCTTGTGCAATATTACAAGAAATGTGAGAGCAACGATAAGCGAACAGATAAATTGCATTGTATATAAAGTTATACTGTGTTTAATGAATAATCACAAACCAATATATATATATATATATATATATGTATGTCTTTCTTCGTTGATAACGATAAAACGAAAATGACGAAAAAACAAGGTTTTTTCTGTGAAAAATAACATCTGTGTATATTTTAGTTTTTTTTCAAGGGCGAACTATAATACAGAAAAGGGTCGTAGTTTATTATCGATGTTACAAAGTGTAATAGTTTGATGTATTATATTTGATTACCTTTCGATTTATATTTACGATGGATATTTCAAGAAGAGAGAGGAAGAGAAAGTTATTAGAATATCTACACTGATTTTTAAATTTTATATGCTGATTCATTGCTATACACAATGTAATCTTTCGAAAATCCAAAATATAATTTATATATACGGTGTCAAACTGGCACAAATGACACAAGATCCTTTAGTATATTTTGTCTTTTATTCTGCATGAAAGCTAGTTGACATTTAAAAAAGGAATGAACGAGACACACATAATAATCCATCATTCTCAGATTATACAAGTGCTTTTGACAAAACATTTAAACTCTTCTATTAAAAATAAATAAATATTATATACGCATGAACAATTTTCAAAGCAAATAAAAGTTTCTATGTTATGTCATTCTCTAGCTTGTTGTGCAGCCTGTCGAACTAATGTCGTAGTTTGAATAGTCGTAGCAGGTGGACGTGGATAAATATAATGCATAGCAATATTTTTTACTTTTGTGTTCATAATAAACTGAGTGATTGTTAATAATGTGACACAAATCGTTATTAGAGTAATAGCTAACAAGTACAATACTTCAGGCGCCGAATGTTGAATTTTATACCAAATACAAAGAAAAAACATGAGTAATCCTCCACCTGACATCAAACTACTCTGAGTTGACATTTGTTGCATTATTTTGATTTCACGTTTCATATTTGGAGTTGCAATATTATTTCTAGGAACCCCATTTAATGTAGTCGGAACAATCATTGTTATTCGTCGTGTAGATTGACGAACTCGATAAAGAATAATCCCATAAACAATTGTTACAGTATTTAATGGTATAAGACATACAATTACACCAGCATACATTGAGCCTGCAAATACTTTTGTTGTCAAAACACAAGCACGAGATTCTTTTTCGAATCCATATGAAGACTCAATAAAAAAAGGTATACTTGATGCTAGAAAACTGATGGACCAGTGAATGATAATCATTATGTAATGCGTACGATAATTATGAAGATATCTATATTTATAGAAAACAGCAAAAAATAGACGACTAATCGCTTGAATAGCAAATGAATTGCAAATAAGAGCAATACTAACTGTATAACAATAGCCTCGAAAAGCACATTGTGGTGAATTAAATGCCCAATCTTCTCGCAATCCATAAATACACATAATAATAATTATAATATAATAGAAAATAACAGTAGTACATGTATTACATCCTAATAGATTAGTAACATCATGACATTGTCGATTGATAATAACGATACAAATAGTCATTATACAAAAAGTTAGACCAATAACTGATGCCAATAGTCCACAAGAAAAGTGTAATGTAAAATAAAAATCAGGCAGCATGTTTTTTTTCTGAACTTACATAAGCTAGACTAATACGAGGTGTGTTTCTTCTTCAAATGAATATCTGTTTTTTTTGCTTATAAGTTAACGCTTGATGGAATTAATATTGTTTTACTTGAAAGGAAAAATGAGATCTGCTCGTTATTATTTTTATGATAGAAATAAATTAGAAAAAGTTTTCTATTCATAATCTTTCATTCGGATGACAGGATATTTAAAATTGAAAAAAATTATAAGACAAGTACACTTCTGATGTATGAGCTTTCGCTAGATTGTCATATCTTCGGTGATTCAATGTCAAATTTTCTAACGTTAATACATTAAATATCGTAATCGTAATGAAAAGTGTCATTTTAATTGGCAATTATTATCCAAAAAAAACTTGGGACTATTTATAGTTTCTTTTTCATCTATAATTAAGTTAAAAAAATTTTTAGATAGAAATGAGCATGCAATTCTTTAATAATACAACATGTCATACGACAGTGAATTGAATCGTACATTTGAGAGTGTGGGTGAATAAACGGGAGTGTAGGTCTATGTATTCTTCTCATATATTAACTACACACACATGCTCACCCAAAACCCTCAGACCTATCCTCAAATCTTTCCTAAATTTTAGAATGTATAAAAAATAAACTTCATTTAAATTCTTTATGGGTGTTTCCACACAGCTCCTCCCAGATTTACATCGACTTTCTTCTGGCAAGATTTGAGTATGCTAGTCTTGTAGCCCTCGTCGAGTTGTATGAGAATATATATTTAGTTTGGTCTTCCATCATGCGCTAACTCCGGTAGAGCAGCCTGAAAAGTCGATTTTATCAAAAAATGGGCCCCAGAATCACCCTTTTTTAGTCTTCGTGAATCTTTTTCAGAAATTCTGATTCCATCATTGGATAGAGAACTAAAAGTTGTCTTTGTAAAATAATTTTCAGAATTTTATCTTTAAAACTCAGGCCGTGGCAGCATTGACAAAACTCGTAAAAATGGCACTTTACGTCAAAATCGAACTGTTCATAAAACGTATATATTATATTAAAGACGATAATATTTTATAATCAAAATGTAGCCTAGACTGTTCTTGTTCGAATGTAATGTGCCAGACTTCCAGAAAGTTCTCTCAGATCTAGATATATGACTCTGAAGGGTCGGGGGGTCTCAAAAAACGTCATATTGTAGCTCGATTTTCTCGAAAACTATACGTCAGATTTTGTTGAAATTTTTTTTACAAAGAGACCTCAATGGGCACTACAAGTGTTTAAAATATTAATCTTCCCGTTTCAGGATTGTGGGAGATACAGCACCCACAAGTTGACCAAAATTCGAGGTCCAATACCTATAATTTCCTACATTTCAATTTTTTATCCTTGAAGAATAATAACTAAATTTATATGCCTAACATAAATCGCTATACCTACAGTTCATTAGGCGTTCAAAAAGATTTAAAAAACTGCTAAAGAAAGAGGTAAAACTCATAATTTCTTATGATATTCAGAGCATAGTT